ATATTTTTACCTTTTATTTTCCCTAATACAATTTCCAACTAATAAACTTTCTTTCCTATGCATTTTAAAAAAGTTTTCCTCTTTTTATATAGGACCCATTTAATAACTTTTTTACTAATTTTTTCTATGTCAATTTCTTACCAAATGTAAAAATTTAACAACTTCACAAAATTTTATTACAAAACTTATCAACTTTTCACATAATCCTTTCAACTTTTCACCTTTTGTATAGTATTTTTCCAACCAATTCCTACCAAATTCCTCCCCAGCGCTTAAGCTTTGAGAGCTGAACTATTTGGCCAACTAAGGCCGGCTCTATTGATAATGTTCCTTTCAAGCATATATGCATACAAACTATCAATGCAGTCTTAAATTAAATGAGTAGATGTACATCTATTTGTGAGTCTCAAGGGAGTGAAAAATCAAATCACAATTATGTCATATAAGACACTTAGACCTTACTATAAGATGAGATTTTGTGTGAATCTTTTTTTCTTTCATATGAATATATGTTTATCATTAATTTATGAACTTGTTTATTCCTTCCTGCGTTATAAATCAATTACTTCAAATCTTGAAAAACGTTTTTCATTTTTTAATAATAAGGAAATCTAGAAAATTAAGGAAGAAGACCTCAAAAGTCAGAAGAATCTCTAAAGAGTAAGAATGAGAGAGAGGAGGGTGGGAATCCCATAATGAATGGAAATGAGTGAATTACATCTGTGTGTTACTTTTCTTCCTCCTTTGGGAAAGAATATAATCAGGAAAAGTTTTGCTGTTTGAAAGAAAACACAAATTTCATTTCATCTAATTGTAGCAATTATGCATTTCTAAAATAGAAACTAGAGATGGATGTAGATTATTAAATGGAAGGTCTATAAATGGCAAATTGGAGAAGAAAAATTAATGTATCAAGAAAATAATTATAAAATATTAAAACATTAGAGTTGATATCTAAAGGTGAGAATTTTTTTCCCCTCATGTAATTGCCTTTTTTTTTTTCTTCTTTTTTCAGGCTTATTGCCTTTAATTTCTCGATGTTTTTAATCATATTTTGCTCGTGTGAAGAAAATAGTAGCATGAATGTAAGGCTACCACATACAAGGTAAGCGATGATTTTTTTTAAGTGAAAGCAAAAAGTTGTGAATTTAAATTGTATGACATACAAGTGGAATGAATTAAAAAATTAAAAAAAGTTGCATCGAAGATATATTAAAAAAGAAAAAGAAAAAGAAAAAGGAGCAAATTTCCATTTCATGTACTCATTACTTGGATTTGTCACAACCAAACTAGCAGTAACAGATGATCATATTTAGACGACAAATGAAATATGCTAAGAACTACATATGGGTGTTGATCAGATGAACCTTTATATACACATACATTACTTCCTTTTGCCTCAGAAAAAGAAAAGTTGTGGTATACAGACAATCAGGGAAGGGAAGATGAGCCAATTCCTGTAATAATCTGCACTTACAAAATTACATGCATGATGATGTAGAAGACAACACCAGGTTCTAAAAATGCTACCATGACAATTGCCCAAACTAGCTATCTACCGGTTCTTATTACCTCCAGTGCTGCCTCCACCCCCGTTGGAAAAACATGATGTCGGGGCGTGTAATGTTAGAATTTGGGTAAGTAGTCAAATGAGATCAGTTCTACACACGTGTTGTCAGGCTGCTGGTAGTTGATAGCCGATTTAGTTGTGTTATGTGTGTTCTCAAGCTACAGTCCTTAACCTATGAAAAATGGGATAGAGAGCTGAATTACTAGATGAAATGGGAAAGGGTTTGGCAAACACAAGGGATGGCTGCACCATTTACCTGCATGGCTGCTATTGTAGACAAGAAATCTCTACATCGTTCAAGCATAGCCTTCTCCTTTGCTGTAACATTCATGAGTTCAGCTACTAAGACATTCATTCCCTCCACCTGTGAATGGCAAAGATGTCAGATAACTTGGTAAATTGACCTTTTGAGGTCAAGAGGAACTGGTTTTGTAGTAGTTACACAGTTGACTTTACCTTTGATGATAGCAAGCATATTGAGGATGCCATTGCTTGCATTACATCTCCTGCTGAACCAATAGCATCCTTCAGTTTTTGGATATCCACCTATCATGAGAGAACATATAAGGAAGAAATGGAGAAATTTTGTCAACTTCAATAACACTGCTGTGCTAAATCATTATAACATCTCATCTTCAAAACTGAAAAAGAAAAAAGAAAGAAGACACATACCGTTGCATTTCCAACAATTGGAAGACGAAGGGTGCTGGCCTTCAAAGCTTCAGTTGCTCCTAGCAAAGAACTGGAGTGGTCTCTGTCTAGGAGAGCCCATTCTTCCAAACAAGGCATCTATAATCATCAATTAGAACAAATATTAGTCATGCAGAACAGAATTCTTATGCTATTATAACCAACATCTAGAACTGCTGATGAGGGAAAAAAATAGAAATGAGAATAGAAAGGGGTTAAAATTAGAGCAGCTGTGCAAATAATTAAATATACATATGAAGAATTTTGTTTTCCAACAAAATTAACATTGTTAACCCATTAAAACTGAGTAACAAATCGTTGATTGTATCATCTAAACCTTGAGCAGGAATACATATTATCATATACAAAATACAAAGGCTACAAGGATCAGATCTTAGGGTCAAAAGGAGGAAGCTACCCCCAAACAGGCAACAAGAGGAAAAGATGAGTAATTAAACAGTCAAACAGGCCAACAGGCCAAAAGAAAAGAGTAGTTCATGAAACTGAAGTGGACCTTACAATTTCATATCTTCAAACACATGATCAAGCAAAGCATCAATTATCTGCAGTTTAATGGCTCCAAAAGTGCTCCAATGCTTTTTGCCAGACTCTGAAATAACTTTTTATATGTTGCATTTTTCTTTCTTTTCATGTCTTTTATTTTTGCTACCAGTAAAATTCAAGCTAAAGCCTAATCTGATCATCCCACAAACTATTAGCAAAGTTAAAGCTCAGAGGCCAAATTTATGGGATAAATGGGACTGACTTTCAAGATGACAAGGACTTCAACTTTCCAGATTTCTTCAACCAGTGATAATGCAGACAAGGGACACCTCTCAGTGTTTTCAAGTTGGTACACCTAACTTAAAACCTTGATTCTGTGGTCAATGTCAGGGGTTCAAACCATTTCAATAACTAATCACTGACATTTCTTCATTGATTAAAAAAAAAAAAAACCTTTCTCCACAAAGCGATTTACCTTGATTAGAGGATAATCATTATAGTGGAGTTTTAACTTCCCTGAATAAACTTTTTGCCAACAGAGGTGTCACAGAGTTAAAGCCTTACTTTCACCAAGGGAAATTGCATTATCATAAACTCCATTATGATGATTTTGGTTTCACAAGGGGAATCATCATGATTTCACCCTGACACTCAATACAGTAAGAATCATTACAATGGAATCATCGTGATGGAGTTTCTGAAAAATAATAGGCACTTGTCACTCAACACCTCAGCGAGTTTAAGCTCTACTCCAACAGTTTTCTTCCCTAAATAGCACCCCACCTACCCACCCCCCCCATAAAAAAAAAAAAAAAAAAACTGGGGGGACATAGACTACCATATGATATGAATATCCTCTTTTCGGTTGTGATGGTGAAGAATTTGCCTAGTAAATTTTCTCAAAGCTACATATATTATTATATTGTTTCACCATGAGAATTGACAAATTAAATGTGATTCTACTGTCTTCATACACATATAACAGAAGAGCTGGTCAATTGAAGAGCAGGATGCAATTATGCAGTGGCAAAGGAATAACAACCAAGCATGTTGATGCAGAATTGAAGACTAACCTATAAGTAACATGCATAAAATAGAGATGGGGAAGAAAAGGATAAAGGAAAACCTAGAAAGCACTTGGGTTACTGGAAATTGAGCAGTAGATATATCACGGGGCAGAAAAAGAATAATTAGATATCAGAACTTGCACAATATGCCACAAGGACCATTTTCCCACTGCCTTCAGAAGATGCAAGAACATTATCATAATAGACTCAAAAAAACTTGGCAGCCAAAAGTAAGTGAGGTTGTTAGGCATAACTAAGAATATTGGACCAGAAAAGACCCGATAAAATTGACCAACATAATTGATTACTGTCTTGGATAAAATGAAGAGGGTTAGACATAAAACAGGTATTTGTAACTGTTCTTAATTAAATACTCTAGCAGGATCAGTACTTGAAGAATAAAGCTTCAAATCTTACTTGACCCTTGAGGATGGAAGTAAGTTTCAACTTCTGCCTCAGCAACAGCAACTTGATTCTTTTAAGGGTGACAGAATGCCTCAGTTCAGAAATTGTTACCCATGCATTCCAAAGATTACTCTGTTGAAAAGAAAATTCATTTAGATACAAAATCATTGGAGTCAAAAGTAAAATACTCATCTTGATCAGTTGTCATAGAAAGTAACTTGTTTTAATACAGTGCAGCCAGTAAGTTAAACCCTGGATGCTAAGCAGTGAGATCACATATCAATGAAAAGAAAAAAGCTCACCCAGAAAAATGCAAAAGTTGTCACAAAATATGAAGGAATCCAAAGGAAATCACTTTACTAAATAATGATAGGGAAAAGCTACAACCAAATTGAGAAACCCTAATCACAACCTGAAGCATCCATTGACATGTTTAGGAGCAGCTTAAGTAGGATCTATCAGCTGGACGAGCCAAATAACCACACTTACATTTTGATAAATCTAGAGAGAATATCTTATAATTCATATGATCAATTCCAGCATTTCTTTGTTTAGTTTTAATGTGGACCATTATCCATAATATTTCAACAAATGCAAGGAATATTAGTAGATCTTTAGGTCATTTGCAAACAGTAGAAATTAAATCAGAAAATGTATCTAGTATTCATTATCTTGTTTTACCACTTGTCAAACCATCCAACCTAAGACAATTGGTAGCATGTGGAAAGGCTGAATTAGAATATACATTCTACTATAAAGTAAAACAAACAAGTCTATCACATGGAGAATGAAACAGAGCTTTAAATAACAAATGTGTGACTAGGAACCTTACCCAAGCATCATCATACATAAAATCAATTGATAAGCAGTTAATAGTCTAATCTGAGTATAAGAACACAACATACCCAAAACAAAATTGACATGTGATAAGACCACTACTAAGAGTGTTTCATTAATTTCTCTAAACTATATCTCACTTCCCTAATTTCTAAGCCTTTATGGAGTAAATGAGTATTATCATGAATATGCAACAGATATGGAGTTGAGAGATTGATCAAACATTTTTAGACAATTTGAACCAGAAAATCACAATGTGTGCCAGGCATGTTCTTCCCTAAGACTTGTCCTGTATTAGTTGGAAATAAATATGGCTAATTTGTATCTTCTCTTTGGTTTTTGATGTATGTTTGTCACTATGCCTATATATGGTCTCTCACATGTTAATACCTTCTGCCATATGCAATTTATGTACATTAGAGCTTAAATGCATTATATTTATTTAAAAAATGCAGCACAAATTCACCCAGTTCTATTTCTGATAAAGCCAGATCCTATGAGCTAACTATATTCTGGATGTCACCAAGGGCCACAATGTTAAAAGCATGAACCAATGACTGACCCATGTTATCTGATTCAACCTCAGATAACAAAAGATATAACTAGCCAACTAGGTGATCCCTGTACAAGAGTTGTTGCAGTTGCACAAACTAAATAACATTCCAATCAGAAATAACTTTCTATATCACAGATCAAATTCCAATTGAGAATTGACTAATATAGTAAATTTCAATAACTGCCACTGAAACACTCATGCCATATATACTCAAGATAACAACTTAAAACCGTCAACTCAAGTCTCAAACAAAGCAGCAATGTAGCAATGATAAGCTGTAATGATTTCTAAACCAAGACTAGCAGTTTAAGAAAACTGAAACCACAACTCCAATGACGAGTTCAAAGAAGCCTAGACAAAATAATAATAATAATAAAAGAAGAAGAAAAAGAAAAGAACCCCGATAACATTAATCATTTCCATCCTACTGAAACACTGCATCTTTTTGATAAAATGAGGCAAAAAGCTACCTAGAGTTCGCTCCATTTAAAGAAAAAAATTCTAGACAATAAGCAATGAAATAAGCACCAAATAAGATATTAATGGAGGGAAGAGGTGGGAAAAGAAAAGGGAAAGCAGTTCACAAATACAGGACAAAGACCATTTGTAGTCAAACTCTATCTATAGGAAGGTGCCAGCTTGTAACTCAGCAATCACATTAAAGCCTTCACCATATATCTAACAATATGATAGCATATTACCATAATGTCTATCTCTAAAATCTAATCCTCGACAACTCTGGGCCAGGCAGCTACAAACCTGTGTAATGATTATGTTTCATTCCTGAAAGATAGATGCTATGCTATTAATAGCCATAATTGAATCACATTGGCATAATCCCAAACGAAATTATATGGGAACATATGCCTACTAGTATTTCCTCAAAGAACTAGGTTGCCACATACAACATGTCAATGTATTTAAATGAAATCCTAAACTAGTTTGGTTGGCTACAGATAAAACTGTTACCATCAAACGAGTTTTAGTGTGCATTGGCTACCATACTACCTATAAAACCATTTAGTTCACACACATTGGTAGTATCAAAAAAGAAAAACTAAAGTCAACATGTTAAAAATAATGAGATGAGATGGATGATAACCATACCTCTGCATTGAGTATCTGCACCATGAATGTAGAATCTGCCCTTGCATTTACAAATCTCCATTGCAAGTAACGGTTATATAGAAGCCTCGACAAATGTGCGTCAACAATACGATCTTCCCCAATCTTTCCTCTCCGAATGTCAACAGAGAAGCTAAGAATGGAAGGTGTATTAGCAGAGTTACAACTCATTTGACCACCAACAGCACTTCTCACCCTTGCAGGACTTAGCCCCCTCAATGGTGATGAAGCTGAAGATGTCCAAAGCTTACTAGGCGAAGCAGGCCTTGTAGCTCCCCTTACGGGAGAAGCCGATGTCCTTGGAGAGGACGTCACACCATCACTAGAAAACCTTTTTGATTGACTGAGCTTTGATGGGGCACCAATTCTAGACGCAGGGCTCGTAGACAGTGGTGACCCTGGATCCTGCAACCGTCTTAGCCGGCTATTTGTCTCTTGCCAGAACCTCGCTGACACAACAATACCACGAGGCACACTCTTCCCTCTCGAAACTCCACCTCCGCATTCTTGTGCCCCTGAATTGGTGCTCCCTGAGGACACACTATCTGTATCAGATGCGGTGAGATCACAAGAGACAGAAGAAGCCTCATTTACTGAATTAGCATCTGGATTTTGCCTAGTTTCCTTGAGCAACTCTGCATTGCCCAAATCCAGGCTCAACCTACTACCACAATCAAAAGACAACCTCCTATTACTATCATCAAACATCATAGATTGCTGCAGTGACTTCATTCCCATTACACCAGATCCAAACCCACCAAGCTTCTTCCTCTCATTACTGCAATCCAAACTCCTAGACAACGGGTTAGAAGTCAAATTCACTTGACGGCTTCTTGCAGGCCACCGCTGTTGATCCATTGGCTTCGAGTTCTCTCCCTGATCTCTCACCGGAGTGGCTCTACGCCTTTCTGGGGTAGGTTTCCTGCTCAAAGCGGGAGCTGCCTGCTCCTTGGTCTTACTAATCGGAAGCGAAAAGACCTCCCCTTGAAAAGAAACAGACAAACTCCTCGTCGAAGTGATCAACATTTTAGTGGCGGCGGATAATTCAGAAGCATTACCATTCCCCTGCGGCACCGGAGTTCCAGACCGCCTCCGGTCTGCAGATTGGGAGCGCTTAGGAAGCGAAGAGAGCAGTGTCTGTTTTGGGGTTGAACTAGAGGTAGAATTGGTGGAGCGAGAAACGAGAGGAGAAGGAAATCGCGTCGTTTTGGTCCCCGCCGACGTCGAGGAGGAAGAAGACGAGGACGGCGAAGGCGACAAATACCTAGACGAGACCTGTCTCCCTCTGGGTTTTCTCGCAACAACGCCATTGTCCTTAAGAGGAAGTGAGGCGGTCGACCCAGTTGCGTTTTCTAGATTGGCATTCCGCTCTTCTCGCTGTTGTTGTGCCGGAGATTGCCGAGAGGGAGTTGGTGGACGGGAAAATGCAACCACCATTATCAACAAACGAGAGAAACCTACTTCGTCTCCTACATCTCTTGAAGACCATTAAAGGCTCTCCTCCTCCACAGCCAAAAATCTGCAAAAAACACAAGATTAGGAGATTATGGAGCAAATGGGGAAGAATCCTTAATGGGTCTGTGGAGGATTCAGCATTCCTTGAGGAGCAATGAAGGAAGCAACAGTGCTGCTTTCTGGGTTTAGAGAGAGAAGAGGAGGAGTAAAAAGTAGGTGAGGTGAGATTGGGAGAGGAGAAAGAGAGATGCAGTGAAGGTAGGCATCGAGCTTTTGGGTTTTGGGATTTTTTTTTTTTTTTTGGGTGAATTTTCAAAGGGACGTTATGTTTTTAGGAATTAAATGTAGATTTTAATAATAATCGAGATTTTTTTTTTGGGAATGTATAAACTATTTTATTTACTTTTTAGTATGGTTTTGATTTTTTATTTTAATTTTACATATAATAAGTAAAATATATTTGGATTAAATTTAATACATTTTAATGTTTATAATAAATTATGATTTATAAATATAGTATGATACTAAATATATAAAAGATAAAAATTAGAAATTAAAATGATACTTCTTTAAAGATAAAAATAAAATTAGCAATAATACTTCTTTAAAGATAAAAATAAAGTTTTGTTTTTTCACCTTTTGAAATGTAAATAATAATAATAATAATAATAATTCTAAATTAATAAAATTAGTCCAAATAACCACACTTTTAATTAATAAAACTTAAAGAAGTTACCAAATTTTTCAATAATAGTACTTTCTAACTTTTTTTTATGGAAAACTATTCGACTATTTTTTTTACAGATGTGTTTTCTTCACACTTTATTTAAATAAACTTGGGTATCTAATCAAACTTGGTAAAATGGATCTGAAAATTAGTTTTTTTTTTTTTTTTTTTTTTTGTGGGTTTGGTTGTTTGATTAAGATGAAGAATTGATTGATGAAGAAGACAAGGCAACCATTGGGTTTTTGCAGGTGGATGAAGATGAGGAAGGCATAGGTGCTGGGTTCGATTTCGAATCCAGC